TATATTCTCTACAAATATTGTATTTTAATCCTGCCACTATAAAAACTAAAGCATAATCTAAACCAAAATTGTCATTACGTATTTCAGAATATCACATATGAAACATAAAATATTGAAGCCCTTGAATATATCTAACAGTTTTAGAACTATGAAAATATAATAAAATGCATTAAAGAGCTATAACCTTGGTGCTTCTTAAAAATTCAGGCAGATCTTAAATGAGTCAAAATCTACATTTTGGCTAGTTCAGTTTCAAATCTGAAAAACGTTTTGCCCATATGAAATGGAAAAAATGAATGCACTTCAGAAATTATTTAACACTGAAAAGCTGTTTTATCTTCTTGTTTAAATATAAATAATTCCACTTTATTTGAAAGTTGGAATATACTATTGCTAATGAAAAGCTAGCACTCAAATAACACAAGAATGATCTAAATATTTTTTCTACTATAGCTCCTAATCATATTACTGCATTTTTAACAATTATGGGGTTACAATGTCATGAATTAAGATGATGAGCTATATAAAATCTGTTTAACAGTTTTTCTTATAAATATCAAATACAATGATAAGGTCATAGAAATATTAAAACAAATTATTTTTAAGGAAAAAGCACTTGGTCATTCATGGATTTAAAAATGGGATTTATAGAAAACTTTTTAAAAGGCCTAAAATACAATTTTCAGAGGTTGATTTGAAAATTCATAAAAATGATAAAATACTCTCATTTGATATATATGTCATTATTATACATAAAATGGTTAAGTGACCATTTTTCTTTCCAGAACACACTAATTTAAAATTATAATTGAATGTAACATTCATGTAATGAAATATTTTGCCTGGTTCTAAACTGTGTATCATAATTTTAGCTATAAATATTGAAATTATAGTTAGTTGATATGCCCTTACCACTTTTCTATTGGCATTCCTTCTGATTGCACTTCTACTTTGTAAAAAGCTTCATACTTTGAGTGTTTAACATACCCATTGTTTCCTGCTTACATTAAGCATCTCAGAATGAATAATTTTGAAATGGATGAAGCAACTGAATTTGTTTTGCATTTTTAGCTCATAAATGGCAATTATTTTTAAAAGTGGTGTGAACTTGGAAGAGTTTAGCCACCAGCTTTACTAATATTTATTCTATATTCTTAGTTACAGAAAATACATTAACAAACTTTTACTAGAAAACAAAATAACTAAAGAAATAAATTCTCACATAATTTTTCTTATTTTTAGGACATAGAGTTGCAGCCCAAGCTTCCTAGCTATGAAGGTCATCCATGTAGGCCTGGGGCTTGCAAACTTTCTACCTTGCCTCTCCAATACTAACATTTTAAGAATGTACAAACACATGTCTTTCAGTGACTGTTCTTAATATAGATGAAATTAAATCTTGTCTTTCAGTGACTGTTCTTAATATAGATGAAATTAAATACTTAAAAGATTCAAGCTTATGTTCTTGCTTATTTTAAGGCGTACACCATACTATTGTTTGTGAACCCAACTTTAAGTGAGAAATATAACACCCCCACAAAGTTGTATTAGCATTAAAGAGAAGAACATAAGTAAGGTACATGTTTTGCCAGCACTGAAAAGGCTGGAAATATTCAATATTCTTTTGTAGATCACTGGCCCAATTTGATGAAAATTCCATTTTACTACAATATACGGTTTAATACTCATTTTTAAAAAATGATTAAAATATAATTACATCATTTCCCTCATCCCTCTTATATATATCATGCCCACCTCATTCCTCCCCAAATTGATGGCCTCCTTTATAAAGCCACAAAGGCTTTTGAGTTTGCCCCTGTTATGGCACATCAAAAAATTATGTTGTGGCTATTATATAAGTATGCAATATACTGATATACGATTGTGATTAAACAATGAACAAAAGATCTCTTTTATAATGTAGAGAAAACAGAAAAACAAAATCACATTTGAATTTCAATAGTATGTCACGATCAAGTTTATATCCAAAAGAAATGAAAATATTTACCACCACAAAAACTTGTACACAAATTTCCTATCACACTTATTCATAATAATTAAGAAGTAGAAGCAATTAAAATGTCCACCAATGATGGATGTGTGAATTAAACTAGTATATATGTATAATGGAATATCATTTGGTAACAAAAAAAAATGAATGCTACAACGATAAAAGCTATGATATAGATGACTTTGAGAAACCCTAAGACAGAAAGGAATGTTTGCATATTATACAATTCCATTTACATGAAATATATAAATAGAATAAGAAAAATTTATGAACCAAGTTTACTGCTACCTGGGAGTGAATAGAGTGAGGAATAACTTCAAGAGCATATCAGGTTTAATTTTGGCATAATTAAAAGTTTAAATTGGTTGAAGTGAAGGTAATTCTACTGTTAATATATGAACAAACAATAACTTAAATACCTTATTAATTTTGTAGTATAAATTGTAGCTTGCTAAACTAGTTATATTTTTAATGTTACAAAGCTGTAAACATTTTTCTTTTATTCTTAAAACTGGTGAGGTTTAAATGACATTTTCCTATATGAATTCAATTTCATAAGTAAAAGCCTTATTTACACTACAGTGTATCATTATAAAAGAGAGTCTCATTACAGTGAAGTTTTTCACACAGGAAATGATCAGCCATAAATGTCTTAAGTATGTTAGATTCTTTTTTTAAAAAGAGTTCATCTGAAACATTAGGCAAACATAATTACTTTATATTAATTTTAAGGTTACTTAGCACAAGTGGACAATATTATTCATCTGGTAGGATAAAGAAGTTGTGAGGTCTGTTTTAAACATGGGTTCAATTCAGATGCACCTCAAAATGAGAGAAAACCACATCTTAACTCTAAAGTCCAGCTACTTCATAAGATTTCCTTACAGGAATATTTAAGGAAGCTACAGTCTGTTTGAAGCCTTCAACTTCAGCCCTTGAATATTTTTGAACACCTATATTAAAGTAAAGGACCTCTTGATTTAAAATGGAGTTTTTAAAGACAATTTATTCTATAATTCATGAAAGATTAAATAGCCACCAGACACCAGCAGGTAATCAAGATTTAAAAAATGAAGAGAGCCGGGCATTGGTGACGAATGCCTTTAATCCCAGCACTCAGGAGGCAGAGGCAGGCGGATCTCTGTGAGTTCGAGGTCAGCCTGGTCTCCAGAGCAAGTGCCAGGATAGGCTCCAAAGCTACACAGAGAAAGCCTGTCTCAAAAAAAATGAAGAGAGGAAAAATAAAACATTAAGAGTGAACAGTTCAGATATGAATATCGTAACTATAAAAACAATAAAAATGTGGGAAAATTCTGAGTAGTCACAGCTTACATATTTTGTATGATTTGTCTGTACAAATTTTTATGGAAAAAAACTTCCAAATTCAACTTAATAACACATGCCTAGAATCCCTGCACTTGGAAGTTATGGGTAGGAAAATCAGAGTGCATAGATAATATAAAAAAATTAGTGTTTGTGTATGTCTATACATAATTTATATAATACAATTGATTAGCATACATTACTTGTACAAACATTTATTTCATTATGACATTTCTATGTATGTATATAATGTACTTTGACCATATTTACACCCTCTATCACTTATCTTTCCTGCCCTCTTCTCACTTTTCCCTTCTACTTCCAGATCCCTAATACTCTTCCTTTTATTTTCATTTCCTCTGGCCCACTCACCACTGTAGATTTCATATACAAGGAAAACATATGCACTGCTTATCTTTTTTGGACTGGATTATTCCCTTTACCTAATTAAGTTCTAAAGAAAATTTTCAAAACTCTTTCTGCTTCTCTCACAAATAAGTAATCTCAAGCTTAAATTCACCTTAAAACTAAATCACCATTGTTTCAATAACATGACAATAATACAATATTCTCTTTAATTTTCAGTTAAATTATATTAGACTAAAAGGACACAGATCTCTTCACTTGGCATGATGGGATTCCTGGGTATACAAACATGTGGATTTCTGATTCTTGTGCCTTCTCTTACACTCTTTTCCTTATGTTTGTCTAGTCCAACTCCAATGTGTTAGTTTTTGTTTTATCTTATTACATTTCATTATCTTAATAAAAGAAAATGATAAATATTCTAACTCAAAATATTCTAAAATATTATTAAAATACTACTTTTTGATAATACTCCTGCCTCTACTTCCAAATTAAAGGCAAAGACCATGGTACCAGACTTAGAAATGTCTTTTGCTTAAAAATATTTGAAAATGCCGGGCGTTGATGGTGCACACCTTTAATCCCAGCACTCAGAAGGCAGAGGCAGGCGGATCTCTGTGAGTTTGAGGCCAGCCTGGTCTCCAGAGCAAGTGCCAGGATAGGCTCAAAGCTACACAGAGAAACCCTGTCTCGAAAAACCAAAAAAAAAAAATTTGAAAACAAATAATACAAGTAATGATTATTTATAAAACATAATGTCTAAGATTTCTAGAACTTTAATGCTAGCTTAATTTAATGAATAATGTTTGAATGTGTGTTGCACTTATTTTAATATAGAAACACTAATAAATTTTGCTATACCATCTTATATGATAGTCAAGCTTTTAGTGTTAAGTTAAAGACCAGGCTGGTGAAACCCATAGAAACAGCTAACCTGAACAAGGGGGACCTCATGGACCCCGCACTGATAGCTGGGAAACCAGCATGGAACTGATCCAGACCCCATGAACATGGGTGATAGTTAGGAGGTCTGGGTAACCTATGGGGCCTCTGGTAGTGGATCAGTATTTATCCCTAGTATATGAATGGACTTTGGGAGCCCATTCCACATAGAGGGATACTCTCTCAGCCTAGACACAAGGGGGAGGATCTAGGCCCTGCTCCAAATGATATGACAGACTTTAAGGATCCCCCATGAAAGGCCTCACCCTCCCTGGGGAGCAGAAATGGGATGGGATGATGGGACAGGAGTCAGCAGAGGGGAGGGAAAGGGAACTGGAATTGACATGTAAAACAATCTTGTTTCTAATTTAAATTAAAAAATAGGAAAAAAGTTAGTATGTAAATAAGGAGTTTCCCCAGTAAGTCACATACATGTAAGAATAAGCAATAACACTCCCACAATTTCTTAGTAGTGAACCCCATTCTCTTAAAGAAAATGTAAATATTTACTGGCAAGTTATTTCCAGGCTGAGCATGATGGCACATGCCTGTAATACTAGTGCTCCAGGCATAGAAACAAGAGTTCATAGGACCAGAAGTTCAAGGCTAGTCTTGGGTACCTAACAACTTTGAGGCCTGCTTGCACTATGTGAGACTCTGTCTTAAAAGAAAACACAAAAATGCTTACAAAATAAAGGCTATCATAATATACTTTAAAATTATATTTAAAGATTAAATAAATCTAGTTTGTGGTTTTAGTTTTAAAATCAGTAACACATACATAACAGAATCATCTTATAACTCACAGGCACACATACACAGACTTTCTACATGGTGATTCCCTTCTCTGTATTTTATCTTTATTTTTAAAAGGAAAAAATTATTTCCTGAAAGAGTAAAAAGCCTTTAACTAATTTTTGATATTTGTAGCATGATCCCTTCAAAATTCATAGAGAACATACCCACTCTTTACACAGGCCTGTGTACATGCATGTGCATTCATGTGTGTATGCTGGGGATTGAACATAGAGTTTGTGCAGTCAAGGCAAGTGGACTGCCTGCTTTTAGAAACACCATCAAAAACACACCATGAGCTTTTTAAAATTATCTTTGATGGTATGTCTGGCAAATCTGTCACCCAAAACAAAAATAAAATAATTTTACCTTCTTCCTTCAGAGTATTGTAAGTAGTCTGAAATAAAAGCAAATAGTATCTTTGCATAGACCACATATAAATACACATAATCAAAATAGAACATAAATCTAGAAAGAAAGGCAGGACACAAACTAAATTTGTTTTGATTAACAAAATTATAAATTCATATAACCTATCTAAATCTGTTATGCTTATGTTCTTATGTAAATGTTTATTGGCAATGCCAATGTCTGTTGGTTTTTAAAAGCAGTAAAAGCATAATTTACTCATTATATATATATACATATATATATGTATATATATATTTAGCATTGAAATTTTGTGTGGGTTAATGTTTCTATTGAGCTTTGAAATACATTATTTCTATTCTAAGACATTAATTGACCTTTTCATTTTACTTTGCTGTGCAGTTTCAGAGTATATTAAAAATACAGGTAAACTCAAAAAGCATCAACACCTCAGCTTTGAAATTATTTTCAAAAAGATTCCTTTTACTGCTTTTATGAAATACATCCTTGAACTCAGAATGCTTTTCCAAATTATAGAAATTAATCTCAGAAGTAAATGACTTCATGTGTCACTTACAAGATATCATTAAGTAGTCTTCAGAAGTGCTCTTGACATCATCATCATCATCATCTTCAGTTTTTATTGTAACAGTAGAAGCAGGAACACCCCCAGCTGCTTGAATCACGGTTTCTGTATCTGAATTAGTTACAAGAACTTCTTCTGATACCATTGTGGGAGAGTCAACACCTGCAACACAATCTTGAACCACATGTCCCAAATGTCCATCAGGACCAGTAACAAGATCAGCCATAAAGAATTGCTCTGGTACCCTAACAGAGTTTCTGTAATTAGCTCAGAAGTCAAGATATGATCTCCGTCATCTTCCTCTAATTCTTCTTCAATGGCAACATCAGCTTCAAGTACAGCTTCAGGAACAATCACACCTTCTGTTACTACATCAGTCTCTGTAATAATATCAGGCCCATGAACAACTTCGGCTGCAAGGCCATGATCAAGAGTTATCCCATCATCTGTGACAACATCAGAAACTAATACTGCTTCAGGAACTGAAACAACAATATGGTCTCCAAATGTGCCCCACCCCCACCCTTCCAGCCACTACAATACAAACAATTATTCAAAAAAGGGTAAAGTTATTTTATTAATGAAATATTATATGGAACAAATATCTACCATAAAATAGCTAAAATATGTACTAAGTGCATTGATAAATACATATATACATATGTAATTTAAAAAGCATTGTTGATAATTTAACTATAATAAAAAATCACTAATTAGGAATTGGGTTAGAAATCAGTGTGAAAAGCCAAAAAAAAATCTAAGTTATACTCTTAAAAGTAATTTGTCATTTAAAAGCAAAAATAAGTCATAATAAGACATTGCCACACTGTAATTAATATAACTAAAATAAAAACAAAGAAATGTATCTTTTATATGTTTTGGGAAATGTAAAATGTTAACAGTCATTCAGAGAAATAGTTTGGCAGTTTCTGACAACACTAAACATTCATTGTCTATACAAAACAACAAATGCATTCTAGGACTTTTCTCCCCAGAAAATGTAAAACATGTTTACACAGAAACTATACTTAAATGTCCATAATAGTTCATAGCAGCTATTACTCATAATAGTAAAAAATAAACACTATCCAAATATCAATCCATAAGCAGATAAATGATTGGTTAAATGAACCCTGGCACATCCTTATCACAGAATAATACTTAGTCATAAAGAGGAAGAAGGTACTGATACAACCAACAACCAGAATACATCTCCATAAACTTATCCCGACTTAGATCTGCTACTCAAAATGACAGATGTGGATCCATCCTTAAACAATTTACTTAAATCACCCCTTCAAAGGCTAAGAGAACATTAAAGAAGAGTGAGTAGGAGAGTTAAAGATGTATGTAAGAACTAAAGATAAGGTGAAGAGTTACAAATGGCATTTCCTAGACTATTATAATCCTTAACTCACATAATGTAGTTATCTGCATTTGACCCCCATCAGATCAGCCCTAACAATCAGTCATAGAAAGGAAAAGAGCTAAAGGGGATCTATCCTTTACCTGTGAACTATTAGCTATATGGGAGACAGGAAAATACTTGTATAGCCTCTGCTGAGTCCACCATGCTCCAAAGATAGCTCTACACCTCATCGAACAGTGGCCCTGGATAATCTTGGTGGGTCACGAAGTGAAATGAACAGAATGACATGAAAAATAAATTAGTCGGGGAGAAGAGTGAACAGTGGTGGTAGGAAGTAGGAGGCGAGAGTCGTCAGAATGCAAGGGACACATATGTGAAATTATTTTAAAAAGGTAAAAGTAACCAGGTGGTGCATGCCTTTAATCCCAGAACTTGGGAGGCAGATGCAGGAGGATCTCTGTGAGTTTGAGACCAGCCTGCTCTACAGAGCGAGTTCCAGGACAGCCTCCGAAGCCACAGAGAAACCATATCGAAAAACCAAAACCAAAAAAAGTAAAAGTAAAAAGTTAAAAATTCATAAACAAATATATGTCCAAACAACAAAATTTATGTGGTTTTAGAATACAGGAATTATCAAAACTATAATTTTCTGGATTTGGTATTGTACTACTGTTAAGCAGGATACCAGCATTGGGGGAAGATGAATAAAAAACATATAAGGCCTCACTATACTAATTTTTCTTATTCACCATGACCATATAGTTTCTGAAAAACTGAAAGCAAAATGAGAAACACAAAGGGATACTGCTATTAGTTAATATAGCATTCTACCACAAAACATGTAACAGTAGAAGTCCCAAGAAATTATTTAACTTAAAGGAATTACTATATCCAAAACCTTAGAATCTATTAACACCTGATTTAGGAGAAAGGAATCTTAACTCAGATTAAAATTTATCTTGATAACATTAGTAAGTTTACAATAGAGAGAAAGCTTTAATTTTTCTCTTGAGAAGCATAGTAAGCACCAACTGCCATTGTAAATACTGTAAGAGAAATAAACTCGCTCCATGTTCCTTCTTAAGTTCTGCCACCATGAGGTGGTACAATAAACTAATTAAGTTTGTGGATCTACTTATAATGCATTATCTATATGAAATGATTCAGTACATAGCCTTTTAAATACAATGATCACTGTCTTTTAAAATACTACCTGAAAGAATGCAAAGTGAGACACTACTAGAGATATACACTGCTATGATCAATTCATCAGGATGTTAGCTAAAGCTGGAAACCAGTTTCTAGCATAAATACTAAAAAGCTAAGAATGAAAAGAAAACTAATTTTTTCAACAGAGGTCTTGGATCATTATTATTATTGTACTGATTTTTGATGCAGAACCTCACACAATGCAAGCTGTCCTCAAACTGGCTATGTAGCCAAGGGATACCTGGAACTCATGACTGCCCTGAGTCTGCCTCAGGAGGTCTGGAATTACAGCACACGCCAACACACCCATCTTCCCTTTCAGCTATTCTAAATCCTTCTCTACATTCTTCAATTTTCACCTAAATCTTAAATTACATCAAAAGAACATAACAACAAACATGCCAAAATAAGCATGAGGTCTCCAAGCCTAGAAAAGGCGCTCCCTGCAACTAAGGAATGTTCAGGGTGGGAGAAGTAGTCTTCCTTAGGGAAGAGCATACCAATCAGCCCTGAAAACACATATACAAGTAACATTATAGAGACCGAGCAGGCTACATTTAGGAATATAATGTATGAAAAGTATTTATGATATGCATCAATGAAAAAAGAGGACATGAATTTGAAAGAGAGCAAGGAGGGATGTAGGAGAGGATGTGGAGTGAGGAAAGAGAGGTGAGAAATGAAATAATTGTAATCTGAAAAATAAGAGAAAAAAGAGCATAACCACAACCCTACAAAAATGATAGACAAAGAGAATGTGTATTTAAAAACTACTCTTTGTCATTTATTATTCCAGAAAATTAACAGATTAAGACAGACTAGGGTTTCAAATCCTATATTTATCTAGAGTGGAAATGATAGCTTTAGCAAAGAAAATTAATATTAAACCTATTAAATTCATAAATAATGGGATTCTCTATATGTAGATTCTAAGATTACTATTTCATAAAAAAGTTTTTCAGAAATCAATAATTTAATTTAATATTCAGGAAATCCTAATTATTTCAGAGTATTATTGGAGATTACTTTGATTTATGATTAGATAGTGTGCAAGGTGGAAGGATAGAATAACACTAGTGCTGTCCTATGCGCAGATTAACCTGGCTCAGCTGATAAAGAAAATAAAAAGAAATGATTCCAAGTTCACCTAGCCTATAGTAGGTCAAAGTCAATCAAACCTAAACCCAAATGAATCTAAATATACTTGTTTACCCTGATTTTATTTCTTTAAACTGAACCAAATGACTTTAAAAAGCCTGTACCAAGAACTAATGGGTACAGCAGAATAATGTCAAAATTACTCAGACCAAAAAAGGTCCATAAGTTTGCTTTCTTATTAGTTCATCTGTTTCATTTCATTAAATTTCAAAACAAATTCATTTATTCAATTATACATGGGCTGTATTTCCTTTAAAATGTCATTTATTCAGACACACATAAGTACTATTTGGGCGGGGAAGGGGAGGTGTTCTAGACAAGGTTTCTCTGTGGCTTTGGAGGCTGTCCGAAAACTAGCTCTTGTAGCCCAGGCTAGTCTCGAACTCACAGAGATCTGCCCACCTCTGCCTCCAGAGTGCTGGGATTAAAGGCATGTGCCACCACCGACCAGTCTGTTTTTTTTTCACGTAAGTAATATGCATTATGCACTAGTAATGCATCAAACAGCCTTATACTACATGTGTGTGTGAGACAGAGCACATACACACATATACATATAATCTCATTTATTTCTAAAAATAAGTGTGTTATCTCCATTTCATATACGAACAAAATATATTTATTCTTTAAAAATTGTTATTATTTTGTGTATATAAAATATGAGTAAAAAGTTTATGAAGTGGTTCTCTCCTTTAACTAGGAATTGAAGTCAGGTTATTGTTAGGCTTTCATGACAAGTACTTCATCAGCTAAACCATCTCACTAGCCTCCCAAAACTATATTTTCAAGAGTTTAACTATATTCATTCTTTGACTTGAGGCTATAGTATTATTTTCTTCTTTTTTTACTATCCTAGGAGAAACAGTTTTGTTTCTAAACCAAGATAAGTTTTAAAAGAGATACTTATAAAATTAAGCAAATAGGGCATTGCTATAGTAATATTTTTGGAATTAAATTTATCACATAGAAACTTATTTATTTACATATTATTTCAAAAATTTATTAACAGGAACCTGATGGCATGAAGTATTTATCTTATTAGTTAAAAAATCACAAATGATTAACAATCATCTCTCAAATGTCAACCAATGATAAACATGTAACAATAAATACTAAATTCTGACAAAGTATTTTCCATTTTATAAGAATTTGTTCAAAGGTTATCTGGCACCCCATTAGAGTGACAGCAAAAAATCCTTTCTTAACAATCTGTCTTTGACTAGTATCTAAGGCCATTTTGCTATTTCAGTTTCAAATCAATACTTATCTTTGCAACATTAAAATCTTAAACGATTAAACTCAATGACACTGACTGTAAGGAAAATCACTGTACTCAAACATCAGCAAAAATATTATATGGCACAATATTGTAAAATTTTAAATCTTAGCCATCCTTCAAAAGAAATTGATCTAATAACTTATAAATTAGTTCTTCCGTTTTTCTACACAACATTCATCCTATAGTCTCAAATGAGAACCTTACAGAATGTAGAGACCTGGTTACAGGGAGTTTATTTACATGGCTGTATGACTTCAAAAATTTCAAAATCTATTTACTAAGGACAAATGGAAACCTAATATATTTTAGGACAGTACTCCTTTATGGATTCACAAACTGTAAATCCATAAATGAGTAAATAATACTCTAGCAAGTTTTAATTTTACTGTAATTAATAATAATATTACAACAATATAAAAATTCAGTTGGGATTGATTTACCCACTTCAATTTAAGAGATCATGAAAATGAAGTTTAAAACATCATTTCAAAAGCACAACTAACAAGTTGAATCATGAATAGATATATAACCAAAAAACAGTAGCTCTCTACTTTCTTTCTTACATAAAAACTAAGTAAACTTCATTAGTTCACTTTAGAGAAGACTTTAAATAACTATGACAATGCCAATTAAAATTAGTAGTTCTCAAACTTTCCCATCTTCTTACTGCTTCCTTAAACAACACAGAACATACCAAATGAAAACTTTTCTTTCAGTCACATCGTGGTCACCTATAATATATCATTTGGAATGAAAGAGGAGTTATGTATTGATATGTACAGTAACATAAATAGCACATGGAAATGAGTTCAAGTAAAAGAAGCCATGTATGAAAGACCATATAGTATATGATTGTATTTATAGGAATTTTTCAGAATAGCTGAATTCATAAAATGAATGATAGGAAGTGACTGCTATTAAGCTTGAGAGTTTTTATTTCGTTTTTATATGTATTTACAATTTTGAGATTATAATTTTAGATAACAAATGTCTGAAAATTAGACCAGTGATCACTGCATAATTCTTTAATTGTACTGAAATATGGAATTATAAACTTTAAAATAGGGTCTGAAAAGTGCTCAGCATCAAAGAATGCCTGCTGCTTTTCCTTGGGGCCTCAGTTCAGTCCCAGCACCCACTTTAAATGGCCTGTAACACCAGCTCCAAGGGATCTTATTCCCCTCTTCTGACTTTCACAGGCACCAACATACATGTGACATACATGCAAACACACACACATATACATACAAATAAAAACAACTACTTTAAAAATAAACTTAAAGTGGGTGATCAGTATGGCATATGAATTATATATTAATGAAAGAGAAAATAATATTTGTATAAAAGTAATTCAATATGTAGCTCCTATTTCTAAAGCAACTAAAAGTGAATAAACTATCACATATAGGAAAACCTCAAGATACTGAGGTTACAAAGCTGACATTTAAAATGAAAATTTGTATAGTATATTGAAATTCAAGTATCCCTCCAGTCTATAGCCTAAACTGAAATATAAGTGGTTTTAGCATTTTAAAGTTTATGAACTCTCCAGCCAAGAATTTTAGGACAAAAAAATAAAATCTATCATTAACTTTGCTTCCTTTCATCTCTAGTTCTTTCTGTGTCACTTTTTTCATAACTGGATTTAAACATGAGAGAAGAATTTAAAAGACTCATTTTGGCCCACAGTTTCAGAAATTTCAGCCTGTTTCCATTGCAATGGGACTGACGTGAGAGACGCTGAATGTCATGTCAGGGAGCCTATAGTAGAGAAAAGCAGCTAACCTCATGGAGAAAGTGAAGCAGAAGGTGACTATGTCTGTGGTTGCAAGCATTCTACAGTCTTCCTATTTTATTGCATCTAGGCCCTTAGTCTGTTGGATGGTGATGCCCACTGTGTTAGGTGAATCTTTCCTCCTATTGAATTCTCTATCAAAAACACCCTAATAGACACACCCAAACATGTGCTATAATATTTTTTTTTCAAAATCCTCTCAAACCAATCAAGTCACCAACCATGATTTACTATCACAATTCTTGCACTTTCTTACCCACACCAAATCATTTCTAAATCACCAATATATAACAAAGCACATTCATCTTTTAGGAGAACAAATCCATGACTCCTTTTTTTTCACTTTAACAATCATCTCAATCCTTAATAAATTCAACCTTGAGGTACTCAGGTGTATTTATGAGACAAATGTCAAAGAATCACAGAACTCAAGAGACCCTCAATCTCTTCATTATAAAAGTGGATCAGTAATTCAGCCAAGTTTATAACCTAGATAACATCACTGTCAAGACTAGAATAAAGTTCTTATTACTATAGACTTTAAAATAGGGCAGAAAATGGCATATTAAACCACACTTAGAATATTAGCATTTTATTAGTCAAGCAAAGTAACCCTAGTTCTTCTAGCACCCCATCACTGATTTCAGCTTCATCAATTACACATGGCCCTATGGGTCCCATGTCCTTTTTACAACCATTTATTACTTCTGTTTTCTACTTTTATTCCTGTTTCATCTTCAATCTTAAGATCCCACCTCTGCCTTTTTAAATTTGTATATCACAACTCCTCTAAAATTCAGACCAACTGTCCCCAAATTTAGTTTCTTTCTATACAATCAATGTATTCTTAACATATTTATTAAAATAATTACTGTTTTAAGGATACTGAACAATGGACATAAAAGTAAGGAATTTTTTAATTAGGAAAAAAAGGGAAAAGGTGGTGGGCTGTAAAAATTGCTCAGTGGTTAAGAGTGCTTGCTTCACCCATATCAGACAGCTCACAGCCACCCATAACTATGGCAGCAAGACATCCTATGCCTGCTTTTGGGGCCTGTGGGTGACTACAAACATGTGCATGTGCATAGACATTCACACGTGCACACACGTGAATCTTTCTAGCTTTATGAACAATGTAATTTAAAATGTATTTTAGCTGTTTTAACACTTTCTACATCTGAAAACTAGTATATGCTATCACAATATGATGCAATTAAGGCGTATGCATAGTGAGTTTTTAATTTCTAGCAAAATATTCTCTTTATATCTTAAGTTTATTTCAAGCTTCTTAAAAACTATATAATCTTAAATATACTGTTTATATTTGCCTTTAAGAAAATAAGCTGTACAATTTTATTTTCCCAGTAAAGGAATATTTCAGTGTGATTCTACTTTCTTGTTCATTTTTAATATATTCTACTTTACAATCATAAACTACAGCAAAGAAAATGCTTTACCAAAATCCTGCATAATCATGGTATGGGCCATTCTAGCGTCTGAAGTGTGCAATCCAAGACTTCCACCACCTGAATCCATCCTTAGCAAAGTTCATTCACAAATATCTGTAAAATAAATGATTTGAAAAGGAGTTTAAACACATGTATCTCCAAATCAGTCATTTTGGGAGAAATACAATAGAAAATATGCCTTACAACCAGTATGCAATGCTCATTACAAAAGAAAAGAAATACCCAAAACTGCTTAGATGCTGTGAGAATCATACATAAAAGAGGCCGGTGGAAGTAAAGCCAAGATAACAGAAAATGAGGCACAGTTATGGTGACAAGCCATCAGAACATGATAAAAACAAGCAAAAGAACAAAACTGCAAGACTGAGGTCCAGGTAAATATACGTAAAAAATAGAATGAATGACGACAGACTAACAATTGGGATGTTTATACATTACTAGAGGACTCAGATGTCTAGTATTAGTGAATTTCATCCAGAAGCTCTCATCCATTTCTTCCAGACCCAGATCAGCCCTACGGCAGGGCTCTGCAGATATTACATTCACCTCTGGCTCCTGGGGCTCTACTTATAAGCAAACTGTTCTATCACAAGTTTCCTCAGAGTTCTTTGAACCAGTAAGGACTTCTGGCCTCACTCTACTACATTCTCTTGTCTCACAGTTTTGAGGAAATCATGAAACATGACTGCTTCCTAAGTATGGTAAAGAAAAGACCAATCACATACAAACATTTAGCATTGTTTCTTTCAGCATATCATTTGCTTGCAATTGTACAACTGATATTTTTCAGTAATGATTAATAAAACCAAGCTATTCTATGGAAGTTTTTAAAGCAATAGCTCAGCCTGTTTCATTTCCTATGTTAAGACAATCTGACAATATGGAACAGAAAATCAGATGTTGTCATTCAATATATTACTTATAATTGCATATGTGCATTACCCCAGCAACAAAAGATTCTAACAAAACAACCAAAATTGTGTAAATTTTAAAGGGTATTTATGCTATTTTCACTCAGAAGTGTTTGTTAAATTGAGCCATATCACACAGGGTTACATCCTTAATGAAAATTTTAGGACAAAGCCACACAAACAAAATAAGTACTGGGGTATGGCTAAGCCTTTTTCACCTTCTGTAAAGCTCTATAGCTACCCAACAGGCAGAAGAATCTTGAATACAAACTCCTATTCAAACAATATAGTTGTACACTTTGTATACAAAAATATTCTATATCAGTGGATAATTATTTCTATGGTAAATTATGTTGGAACAAAATTAGATATTTTGGAGGACTTCTTAGGGATATTTTGCCTTTCTTTCAAATTAGTATGTTTTGTCTTGCTGTCATCCAAGATAAGGACAAAAGGCCAATGGAGTTCACCACCATGAATTACCTGTATTTACATACATTTAAGTAAAAATGCCATAAGGATTTATTTTGACACTTAAAAAAATATACTATGTGGACTTCAATTTTATCATTTGCTTTATCAGATAACTAATACAACAATTAAAAAAGTCATTCTATGGTTTAAATTTTTATAATTACTAAAGAAAAGAATAATTTGTTAATCACCTTAACACAAGTGGGTTGAAGAAACTGTAGATTTCCTTACAAACTGTAAAGTGAATTTTGAAAAAATTCTTTTTTTACGGTTTTCCTTCAAAACAATGCATTTTCTTTGGGAAAATGTCCTTTACCTATTATGAAAATACAAATTAGATACTTAAAGGCATTTTTTTAACCAAATCTCATACACAACTTAAGAATGTTTTTCTCTACTCTTCTACTTTGTAAGGTGAGGTTTCGAAAGCTCACGTGCTCAAATCTGTGTTTATCTCAAAAGCAGCCGGAGGGATGCCACCACCAGAACCCCCCCTCCCAAAAAAAAATTACACAATCTAAAAATATTACATTTAGAATTCAACTGCTTAAGCCAAATCTTCTTTAAATCACATATTTAAAACATCTCAATTTGGACAGTAAAGACCAACCAAGGACAAGGTGTATCTTTGCCAAATCCATACAGAAAAATCTGCTCTAGCACTCCATGAAGTGTGAAAATTATAACCTACAGGGCAAATATTATGGAAGTACCACACCGCATAGATAGCAAAGACATAAAGTGCAATACTTCTTCAGATATATAAAGTTTCAATAGATCAATAATAAATAATGTAAGGGAACAGCAGTATGGCATTTAATAACCAATAGGTAGCTATGCTTCTCAGTCTTACCAAGAGTGTACCACACACGCTTATAGAACCGAGATAAACCAAGCAACTATGCCTCAAGTACACATCCTTCTACCAACGCATGGGAAGCAGAAAACACAAAAATCAGATTTTACTCTCATCTGTCTCTTCTAAGCAGCTCGTTCAGGAGCAGGCTTCTCCGCGATGTCAACAGGGCGAGGGACAGAAGAGAAATGGTAAGGCGGCTGAGCAAAGAGAATGGAAAAGTAGTATTTGCAGAGATAGACAAAGGAGCCCTGGCAAGTAGCAATATTGCAGCTTTGGACGCAGCACTCTTCCCGCAGAAGTCTCCCTTTCCCACGACCGTGCCAAGTTTCAATCATTTCCAGCC